GTAAAGGACATTTTGATGAAAATAAAAAGGAGAGAATACGTCGTTCGATGATTGAGATAAAAAGAATTTATTTTTAAGGGAAGTTTAACCTTACGTATATGCTAAATCCATGCGTGCATGTATCATTTTCTCTCTCTCTCTTTCTCTCTCTCTCTCTCTCTCTTTCTCTTTCTATCGCGCGATGGTGTCGCGTTTAGAGGAACTTATTACATAGCTCAGTTTTTACTCACGTATGCGTGCGAGATTTGCTTTCCGGTCTCCAGCTTTTTGGCCTTTGGCTTAATCTTCTCTAACGTTCGATTTCACGATATCAAAGTTGGTCGCGCGCGACGACGTCTCACTTTGTAGAATTTAGCGGCGAGGGTGTGCCCCGAATTTTCATGCGGATCAACGGCGTAACGTCAAACGCGTAACGCTGCCGCCATCTTGGCACCAAAGCGCCGCCGGTAGCGCCGCCAAGTGGTCGAAGATCGTATCAAATCGTCGCCATCAATAATATGGCGCACTTTTCAAATTTATACTTGAGCAAATGTAAACCGTGGAACAGTGAAAAAGCGAATTGGAAGCGGGTGCCGAGTATTCGAGTATACATCCCTGTCTCTCTCTCTATATATATATATATCTCTCTCTCTCTCTCTTCGATCAGGTTAATGTTTTCAACTACGACGATACCGACGAGTCACATTCGTTAGAAGAAGACTGTGTGATACGTGAGGACGAATCTGGTACTCTCTCTCTAAATTTGGATACGCTTTCTAATAGGTAATATCATCGAATATACGTACATATTCGTATTATTTAAAGATTCTAACTCTTAGATAATCATTTATAAAACGAATTCTCGTTAATCGTTTAATATTTTAACGAACTTTATGATCGATCTTTTTTCTTTTTTCTTTCCTATTTTTTTCTTTCTTTTTTTTTTTTCTCCTTTTCTTTCCAGAAGACGCATGTGAGTTGGACGACCACGTGGACCGAATCCATCGAAAAAACAATTCTTCCGTATCCCTACAGTAAGATTTTACAACTACGGAATTACGAAATATCATTTTCGTGAGATTATGCGTTATTTTTCTCCACTTGATGATTAATCGGTGAGAATTAAATCTAAAGAAATGTATATGTAAGTGTAATTGTAAATCGCAATAACGTGAACGGATTTATACGAATTTACGTGTGTTATATTATGTGTGAGGAATGAGCTAGTGAAAAATAATAGAAAGAATATATATATGTACGTATATGTATGTTATGTGTGTGTATATATATATATATGTATATATACATAGGATTATTAAAAAGTATTATTGTGTATAAGAGAAATGTGATATAGTTTGAATTTTAACGATACTTTTAAATCCTTTAAAAAATTTCTTAACGTCTATTATACTGCGAAAGAAAATTAAATACTGCCAGATTGTTTTGAAGGTAATGCGTGAACAGAAAATAGTTAGTACTTTTTACAAAGAGAACTAACTGGAAATTTTTCAATTTGAATGAAGAAGCTCATTATCTAATCATGTCGAATAAAAATATATTGGATGAAGAACCTATGAAGAAAAGACTGAGGCATCGCATTATATCGGATCATATTTATAATGAAGAATTTGAGGAATTAGTTAGCAAAAATTGGAGCTGCCATAACGAGATTAAGAACAATAATCTTGAAGTTATATCAACACCTTTTAGGGTTTGTAAAATATCAAATTTTCTTGCTAACGAGGATTTTATAAATGAACTAAAAAATGAGTTATTAGATGTCAAATATCGAAGAAATATTCTCGACCTGTATCAGTTTGAACAATCAGATGACCTTGAATTTGTGGATAAACCAAATGTACAACTTTTATACGCAGCTTTTCAGATCGAGATTGCCATGTGGATGGAACGAGTTACAAGAATTCCTTTGAACAACAAAATCTCAATGTCGAGCTCGTGTTACTGTAATACAGATTACTTGCTTTGCCATGACGATAATATGGGTGAAAGAAGAATTGCTTATATATTATATCTTTCAAAAAATTGGATTGCAGAGGACGGAGGAACCTTGGATCTATTTGATACCGATGAAGATGGATTGCCTCAAAATGTAGTACGGTCTTTGATACCAGAATATAATTCGCTAGTATTTTTTGAAGTTATGGATACATCTTTTCATCAAGTATCAGAGGTGATTTCCACTGAGAGAACTCGTTGGTCGCTCAATGGTTGGTTCGAAGGTTCGTTAAGACAGAGTAATAGACTACCAAGACCTATTTTATTTTGTAAATATACTGAACCAATGGATATGGAAATAAAATTAGAGTCATGGGTTAGGGGTTGCTATCTTGAATCCAAAATGATTGACGACATTCAGAAGGAAGTTGAAGTAGAATCTTATGCATTTCTTTCCAGTTTTTTCATAGAAGATGTATATAATAAACTTTCAGCGGAGATCACCTCTGAAAGTATTTCTTGGGAAAAAGTTGGTCCTGCTGATGTAAGAAATTATGAGGTAGCTGACGAGAATACTCTGCCAGCATTATTGAAAAGTTTCTGTGATATATTTAAGTCTAAGATTATATTTAGACTTCTCAGAAATTATACAGAATTAGATCTTGTATCGATGAAACCAGATATGAAACCAAAAATGACTATGGAATTGCAAAGATGGTCGCAAGGTAGTTACACATTGATTACTGACAGATTGAAAAACAAAAGTAACGAAGAGGAAAATCAAATGGAGGAGAAAGTGTCAGATACAAAAAATAAAAGTAAAAAATCATTGGATGGAAAAGAGATTAAGGAAAAAGAACTAATGGAATCTTTCACCAGTACCGACAGCAAATGTTCTATACAATCTACTAGTGATAATAAAAATTCTTTTAAAAGTAAAAATTCTATATCTATGGAATTCAATAATGACAATAAATCTTCTAAGAATAACAAAGATTCTACATCTAAACAATTTATTAATACTACTAAATCATATAAAACTAATAAAGATTCTAAGTCTAAGCGATCTGATAATAAAAGTAAAAAGAGTACAGATAGCTCTAAAAAAGAGACATATAAATCTGAAAATTTGGAATCTTCTAAGAGTAGCGAAGATTCCCAATCTACAAGATGTAGTTGTAGCAATAAAATAATAGGTACCACGTGTAGATATTGTAGCACACTTTTCAGCGATAAAGAATATGAGGACATTGAAGAAGAAGAAGTGCCAAAGTTAAAAAAGAAAAAGTATAAGAAAGTTAGACCAAAGAACGTAGAATCGCAAACTTCGTCATCTGGATTAGAAAATTCACCTTCTAGTTTTTATGATATACTTGACAGAAGTGATTCTGATGAAGTATCTGACATTGGTGATTACCTTTCGGATCCCTCTGATTACGATATGGAATCACAAAATGAAATGATGGAAGAAGAGGAGGAAGAAGATGAAGATGAAGAAGAAGAAGATGAAGAAGGTACTCTTGATGTTATCGTTCAATTTCATACCGCTAATTTATCACAAGAACAAACGATAGATTATGTTCACCCAAATGAAAAAGAAGGTTCATTGATTCATATACCACCGAAAGATAATCATCTGTGTCTCATTTATAAAACTTTGAGTGTCAGTCGTGTTCACAAATATATCAATCAATATTGCAAAGGTTATTTCTACAATTTAGTATGTACGTACTGCGAGTAGTATTATTCATGGTGAAAACCCATCCCCAAAATCTTTTTTGGCGGCCATTGTACATTCGATGCGTCGTTCAATTAAAAGAAATTTGTTTTTATTTTGAAAGGAAATATATATTGATTGTACAGTGAATCAAATTTAATCGAGGAGATAAAAAATAACGTTCGGGAAGATTATAAGTTGATTCATCGGAAGAAATATTTATCTTGCGAAAGAATTGTAATATAGTATTTGTATTAATAAAATTATCAGTATTTATGGGCATAAAATATTTCCTTTTATGTTTTTTCTTTTTCTTTTATTTTCCTTTTGTCTTTTCTTTTCTTCTTCTTCTTTTTTTTCTTTTTTTTCTTCTCTCATAAGTATTATCGTACTTCGTGTTTTAATTATTTTCTTTACTTTGACAATTCAATCATATAAACGCGATAATATTTCATAAGACGCGAGTTATTATTTAGCTAACACATCTAAGGTGTGAAAATCAAGATCACAATGCAGAAGGAAACATTCGCAATTATTTATTAAGTGCAGCATATACATAATCTAATAGAGATTAAGATATACAAAGTGGTGAAGGTTTTTATTTCGGATAGAGAGATCATGCATAATGTGAATGGAAAGATGCAGAGCGTGATGTATGTGCTGCTTGTGTGTGTGTGTCTATGAATGTCTATCTCTCTCTGTGTGTGTTTGTGCGTGCGCGTGTGCGTGTGTGTATTGTGTAGATGTAAGAAAGAAAAGTTTCGTACATTATATATGACATTGTTAATTAACAATTATCAAGCATTAATTAACTTTCTATCGGTTAATGCGGAGACTATTAAAATGTTTATATTATTGAAACTTTTCTTCTTTTATACTTTGAGATAAAAAAAAAAAGAAAAAAAGAAAGAAAATGTGGAATGAGTTGTAAGTAAAACAAAAGGAAGGAAAAAAGAAAAGAAACAAGGAAGAAGAAATAGATAAGAAGAATAAACGATTAAATCGTTACTCTTGTTACGAAAAATGTGAGGAAAAAAGAAAAACAAAAAGAGAGAGAGAGAGAAAGCGAAAAAAAAGAAACGTAATAATTTCAATTGTTCTAAAGTATCATAATTACGAATCATATCTATATAAGGAAACAAAATTGAGGAAGGATTGTGCATGATATTGGTACGTACGTCATACGACAGTTTATCCTCATACGACGTACGTCGATTAATCTGATATTAAAAAAATTACAAGATCCAAAATAAATTCGGTACTTCGAAAGGGATGAATGGATGGGTGGGTGGAGGGGGTGTGTGAGAAAGGAGAAAAAGTAAAAGAAAAAGAAAAAGAAAAAGCTTACGCTGTATGGATGCAGTCGTTACGATCGATGTTGTTGGATTCCTGAACTTGAAAGGTTGGATGATGATGTGGCACGATTTGATCTTCGTTATCGTTCGTAGATTTCGTAATGACCTGATAGGTACAAAAAAAAAAAAAAAAAAAAAAAAAAAAAGAAAAAAAAAGAAAAAAAAAGGAAAAAAAAAAGAAAAACAAAATATTACAATTGCAAAAGAGTATGTCAGAGCGATTGAAACGAAAGAAAAAAAGAAAGCAAGAAAAAAATAAATAAAAGAAATTCTCGAAGAATATTTTAAAAGATCCGAGAGGACTGATCAACGGTTAATAATAAAATGTCTACGGATATTTTCTACTTGCATAATCTTTCATCTTATTTTATTAAACGAACAAAACCGGAAATCGTTAACGGGCACGCCCTCGACAACGTTTCGTTCCGTATGACTTCTTCTCGTCTAAGAGGAGTCCGCCTTAAGTGACGTCAACGTTATTATTACTAATTTAAGATCGATCGATCGTTATTATTACGAAAATTCTTTTATATCACCGAAATAAATGATAATAAATTATAATAATAATAATAATAATAATTATTATTATTATTATTATAATCATCATCATCAGCGTCATCATTATAATCATTATAATAATAATTTTCAAAGATCATTGATTTCTATAGTATACTATTTTCGTGATACGTATATGATCGACGTTGGTGTGCGAGTAATACTACCTGAGAAGTAGAAGCGATTCCTGCCATTCGTTTTCTCAGCTCGTTCAATTGTAATTCCTGTTGAAAACTCAAGTCACTCTCTTGGGATTCCTCTCGTTTGGTGGCATCGATCGATTCCGTCGAATATTCTACTTGGACCCATGGACAGATGGTCGGTGATGATTGCAAGGATCCTTTGCTTCCGGGTCGTGATAAACGAGGTGAGAGTCGTCTAAGAAGCGATACGAGTTTAGATCTAAAACAAAAAGAAAAAAGTAAAAAGAAAATGAATAAATAAATATTTTTGATCTTCCATTTAGATGGAAGAGATGACATGATATCGTCTTGGTAAGTTATATTGATACTTAGCTATACGTATTACATATCGAACCGAATGTACATGTATATATATATATATATAAATACTAAAAAAAAAAAAAAAAAAAAAAAAAAAGTAAGAATCGACCTACTTGGTACTTGGCGTTTGAATATGATCAGAACCGATCGGAGTATTGGCAGAAAGTTGTTCAGCACTACGAGTGGCATTTCGCCAATGGAGCTTGTTGGAACCAAAAGTGACGGATCTTCCGACTCTCCAGTCTAAGCTACTGCTTTGTCGAGATTGTAGCCCTAAAAGGGAACAAAGTGTTAAATCGATACAATTGTATTCTACTTTCGTAAAACTTTTTCCAATAGGAAATAATGAAGCTTTATTTATTTTTTATTTTATTATCTTTTTTTTTTTTTTTTTTTTTTTTTTTTCACAGAGAAAACATCAAACCTTGCTCGTTTCCACTTTGTCCTAGTCTCCAGTCCAATGAATTACTATTTCTATTCACGGTATAAATGTTATCACAGGATTTGGTTGCAAGGCATGTCGCATGATGACGACGTCTCAGCAGTCTCGATACTGGTCCCAAATTTCTATAAAAGGGAAAATAACGAGTTGTATATATATATATATATATATATATATATATATATATATATATATAATATATAATATATAATATATAATGTATTGAAAACGATCTTTTTTTCTTGTTTTCTTTTTGTTTTTCTTCTTCTTTTTTTATCAAATATTCTGTTGATTAATTTTCAAGATAATAATAATAAAAAAATAATAATAAAAAGAAGATGAAGAAGAATCAAATTCATGCGTATTCATTTTCTTTTATATGTCCAAAGATAATTCGTAAATTTATTTTGAGATATTTTAAGAAAGAGAAAGAGAGAGAGAGGGAGAGAAAAAGAAAGAAATTTTTTAGGGGACGTTACGGTCTGGTTGAGCCGAGAGCAGACAGTCACTTCGATCGCTTATTTCGGCATTCATTCACGAAAGTACCGACCTACCCCAACACGACGCGTCTCGAAATTCTGTGTACTTCTCTTGTATCGCGGTACTTCTCTCAACCATAGCAACGCCACGTGCACCAAATATATATATATATATATATATATAATTTTTTTTTGTAGATATTCTGACGGAACCGTGAACAGCTTTTCCTAGAATCTATGTAGGTCGACTTTCATTCGTTCCGCTCGTCCAACTGGCAAAAACTGAAACTTCGACGACCGAATGAAAAATCTCACGTTCGAATATTTTCTTTCCACTTTTTATTTTTATTTTTATTCCTTTTTATTTCTTTTTTTTTTTTTTTTTTCTTTTCTTTCACTTCGTCGTACGTTACACCCCGTCGTGCGATTAAAGATTCTTTTTTTTTTCTTTTTATCTTTGGTTTGTGTTAAAGGAATACTTTCAATAAGCGAGAATAATGTTCGTGATACTAATTGTCTTATGAATATTAAAAAGAATGAAATGCTTCTTTTCTTTTTTTTCTTTTTTTCTTTTTTTTTTTTTTTTTTTAGAAAGAATGTGAAATAAAATAAAAGATTCATCGTACAGTCGAGAGTTTGAGTAAAGGTTTACGTTGCGACATGCAATGACATTCCATTACATTGCAGCACGTGATAATGAATTCCTTTGTATCTTTCCGTTCTTAAAAGGTCATGAAAAAGAAAAAAAAAAGGAAAAAATTATCAAGTGGGCATATCGATTGCGTAAAACATTTTAACGTTCGATTAAAAAAGCAAAGGCAAATTAAAGGCAATGCCTCTAAATCGTGTAATAAATAAAATTAATTCTTTTTTTGTTTGTTTGTTTGTTTGTTTCTTTCTTTTTCTTTCCTTTTTCCTATTCTCTTTTTTTTTTCTTTTCTTACTTTTTATCGCAATCCCAACTTCGTGAATTTAAAAAAAAAATTCCCTATCGATATTAAGTAAATGGAAAAGATTAAAAGAGAATTTTTAATTGTTGCATAAAAAGAAGGGGGGGGGGTGGTGGGAAATAAGAAGTAGAAAAAGAAGAAGAATTAAAACTATTCAATTATCGGCACGGTTTACGCACAACTCTTATATGCACTATTACAATGTATAAAATTTCCGTAATGAAAGACCAAGAAATTTTACCGTGTCGGAATTTGTAATTCTAATTAGACGCTTTCGAAATAATAAACATAAGCCTTTATTGTGTGATGGCCGAGAGTTTAATTCGATCATATTAATGGGGCGAAACTTTACGACGCATGCGGCGTACTCAGCGCGCTTTGCGCTAATTCGACCTGAATTCCCTTTTTAGGAATTCGCGATATTCGTGGGACTAAGAACATTAAGGGACGTGAATATCGACGTGCAGCGACGAGAATAAAAACAGAAAAAAAAACAAAACAAAACAAAAGTGAACAATAAAAGAAAGAAAGAAAAATAAAATAAAAAGGAAGAGAGAGAGAGAGAGAGAGAGAGAAAGAGAAAGAGAAAAGAAAAACACTTACGACTTACTTTTTAAATTTCCTCGTGTATTCGATCGGTGGTTTGGTGTCGCAAACGACGGGTTTCGTTGTTTCCGATTCCGGGCAATAAATTCCAACTCTGACGTGACTATAAGCAGCACGTAACTGCACCCCATCCAATGGGCGAAAGTTTCGCCGTTCGATGGATGAGACACGTACGATTTCGATCTTTGGCCGTGCTTCGGTACTTTTCCTTTCCATTATAATCATCGGATTTTCATTAACACACAAGAACGATACACGATAAAATCAAAATGTTAGGATATAATCGGATCGCATACGAAAAAAAATGTCGACGTTTATACATCGATAATCTCTTCTTTTTTCTTTTTCTTCTTTTATTTCAAACGTACTTCCTTCTAAGAGATGATCTCGAATGGTCCTCTTTGTTTTGATTTTGTGTGTGTGTGTGCTTGGATTTTCTGTTTGTTTGTTTGTTTGTGTTTAATCGTGTATTTATTCGAAAGTAGTAGCAGTAGTTGGCACTCGCCTTATATCACGAAGGTGTACACAGTTGGCACGTTGCGAATAAATCTGCGCTATGAAAACCGCTATTCTCTTCTTCTTCCTCCTCCACCTTCTCTTCTTTTTCTTTTTTCTTCTTCTTCTTTTTCTCTCTTACAAAGACGCGTAACGTTTCTCTTCTTCCATCTCCTTCCCCTTCTTTTTCTTCTTTCCCACCCTTCGTCGTCGCTACCGTTGCTAATGTTTCTTCCTTCTCCTTCTCCTCTTCTTCGTCCTCTTCTTCTTCTTCTTCTTCTTCTCTTCTTTTGCCTTTTTCTTCTTCACGTCGAGTAGAAAAAAATGTACGGGTCACGTTCATTCATCCACAGGGACGACTTGTCGTCGTAATTATCTCGTAGCGTGATCTTGTTTGACGTGCGCCAACACGCACGTCAACGCGCACGCGCTCTCGATCCCATACATTATTATGTCTCACTATTTTTCCAACACAACAAATATATATATGTGTCTGTGTATGTGTGTGTATACGCGTATGTAACAAAACAACACTATTGCACGATGATTTCATTAGACTCGTATAAACTTCACTCCTTTAGATTTTTTTTTTCTTTATTTACAACGTAATATCTCTCTCTCTCTCTCTCTCTCTCTCTCTCTCTCTCTCTCTCTCTCTCTCTCTCTGTCTTTCTATCTGTCTCTGTCTCCGTCTTTACCTTTTTGTCGACAAAATCGAAGATTATCTTTTTACAATGTCCATAGCCGTTTTCTTATCCGTCTGTCTTATCGTAATGTAAGTAAACATTGCCGAGCGGCGATTAAAGTCTTATATGTAAGCAAGTACATACGTATTTCATGTTGTAACATAACGTATCCAATTGATTCCACTAATTTTATCATTTTTCTTCGTACGTCGTAAAAAAAAAAATATATATATATATATATATATATAAATATATATCATTTACTCGCACTAACGACACAAAAAACACGTAGAAAAGGGAAATATCGATGAACACTTAAACGAATCGAATTAAATATTACGATTCGTAAAACTTTTCGTATACGTAAAACGTTTCGTTCGATAAATCAGTTTTCATCATTTACGGTTGAATTTTTACGCGTTGCGTGGTAAAAAAAAAAAAAAATAAAAAAGACCACGATTAAAGGTCGAAGGGTAAATTCTCGAAATAGAAAATAAATGGACGGATGTATATCGACGAAAATGATCGATTCTGTTTAAAGCAAGGATTTTTTTTTTTTTAATTCATTATATATACATATATATATATATACAATGATGTGTAGGTGTGCGTATCTTTCTTTCTCGTCGTTTGACGCGTCTGCGAGATCGTAAGATCGCAATTAGTGGGAGTGGTCCCTGAAGAGAGCTCGATGGCTTAATTAAATTACGCAAAGAGAGAAAGAGTGAGAGAGAGAGAGAGAGAGAGAGAGAGAGAGAGAGAGTGAGATAGAGATAAAGATAAAGAGCAAAGGAAGATAGTTATCATACGCTTGTCGTAGTCGAGTTTGAAGGAAGCAATTCGAAATGACGAGACATCATTACAGATTAAAAAAAAAAAGATAGGGTTAAAGAGTCTTTAGCTGACTCCAATTGAATCAAATCAAGTTTCAATTTAGTCGAATATTTTCTTTCTCTTTTTTCTTCCGTTTCCTTTTTTTTTTTTTTTTTTTTGTTTTTGGACTATCATTCGTAATACAAACATATATAAAATTATTTAGAAATAAGCTTGGTGATTTTTTATTTTGTTTAAAGAAAATAAATAAGAAAGTAAAGAATAAAAATCATTTTTTTTTCTCGTTGTTCCCTACGGAAGAAGAGGAAGAAGAAGAATTAGAAGACGAAGAAAAAGAGAATGATGGCCTTATCCTCGGGCCACTCGATATCCCGTTTTATATTTCGAGATGGGTCGATACTTCTCTCCGTGACAAGTAACACGGCAAAAGACAATGTAACGCGCACATATAGGATCTATATTTAACGTCCTGGTGGTACTTGGCATACTCTCTTTTAAAATATTGTTGCGGAGAAATTGTTAGGGTCCTGGTGATACGGCAGTGATAGAAAAATGGAGTCCGGAAAAAGAGAAGCTTTCCGTGGGACGATATTAATCCCGAATGGTATACAATGATCTAATGAAATTGTAATAATGAGATTTTTACGAAATAACACGTGCATGTATGTATGTGTGCGTATATATGCGTGTATGTACGTGGGAAACGAAGATTCACTATCTATCGTTCGATCATCTTCGTCATCGTCATTGTCATCGTCATCATTATCGTCATTGTTATCGTTTATACAATCACGTTTCTTATAGTTACTAATTCTACTATTACTAACACGTCTATAACGTTCTAAACGCGTGCACGCAGCTTCTCTCCTTCTATTGGCTATCCTTTGGCATCACACGTCGTTGCCTTTTTGGAGCGGTTAAGAAAAATGTGTAATTAAAGCGTGTCCATATCTATACCTGTACGCGAGTACTACATATATATATATATATATATATATATATAGTAGTATATATATATATATGTGTAGGTATACATATATATATATAAATACCACCGTCTTTCTCATCGATACGCTTTGACGATTAAAACCAGGTGGATTTCGAAATCAAACACTTTTCTTTCGACGAACATCCTTTCCATGTAAGTTCCGTAACATGTTCTATCGTTACGTTATAACTATGACACCTATCTAATAGACGCGCATATGATCCGCGTCTGGTTGAAAGAAAGGACGAACGGATAATATTATAAGAAAAATAGAAGAAAAAAGAAAAGAGAAAAAATTAAAAAAATATATTAAAAAAAAGCGCGAAGAAAGAAGAAGAAATAGAAGAAGAAAAATAGAGGGAAGAAGTAGAAGAAGAAATCGGAGACTGGTCGCGAACGGTAAAAGTCTCGGAAGAATGAAGAAGCTGCGTTTACCGAGTAAAAAAAACAAAGGTTGACACATCAAATGGCACGCGATATGAATGATAAAACTTGAAACACCGCGACGGATTCACTGATGCTCAACGAACACGCTTTCCTAAGCCTCACGTTGCTATTGTGTTTGCATGCGTCGAACCGCATACGCTCCTATGCTCTGCTAGTTTCTCTCTCTCTCTCTCTCTTTCTCTCTCATTCTATCCCTCTCCTTCCTCTTTTTTTTCCTCCCTTTTGTTTAATCTCTTGTGTGGTGAATATAACGGAGCGGTTGAGCACGAAGAATCCCATCTATTCTTTTTCTCCTGCTTAATCGACGCTCGTTATCGAGAGATAACGTGTAAAATGTAAATCATATTTGAAAGTTATATAAATGATATCGAAAAAATATATCTTTTGCGTCTGACTGTTCGAAGAGAGAGAGATAGATAGATAGATAGAGAGATAGAGAGAGAGAGAGAGAGAAAGAACAAATCAAAAAAAGGGGAAAAAAGGAAAAATCTCATCCCACGTTAATTCGTTATAACGATTGGATCCTGATGAAGTAATTAAAAAAATTCCTGATAAAAAGATCTTCGAATTATGTTTCAAGTTTTATGGAAAGGATATTTGATTGGTTCACGTGTATGTTTTTGTCGTGGAAAGAATGAAAAAAAAATAAAAATAAAAAAAGAAAAAATGGCGGGAAAAATGAGAGAAAGTAATGAAATAATAGAAACATTTTACTGAGCATATATAATATAGATGATCATTAGAACGGAGAGGTGTAATAAATCGGTCGATTGGTTAACTGTCTCCCTCTTTCTCTTTCCCCCCCTCTCACTCTCTCTCTCTCTCTCTCACAGGGATTCGGCGGGAGGTTTCGCGCGTGCTCGAAAGCAGCTTCTCCGTTGGGTGGCCGATGGATGATGGACCATAGTAGTCCCGCAAGCGGTAAGCAGCGACATATTAGTACTATAGGCGATAAAATAGAAAAGAAAAGAAAAGAAAAAAAGAAAAAAGAAAAGAAAAGAAAAGAAAAGAAAAGAAAAAAGGAATAGAAGGAGTAAGCGGCAATAATCTGTAATAGCGGTTAAAGGATTAAGCGGAGCAACGTACCGTAGCTGTCTCGTTAAAAAACTCTTGGCTCTATTAAATTCTTCTCTCTAGGAAGCACTCTCGTCTAAGAATTTCTGACCGAGGACGAACGAAACGGATCGTACGTCCTCCGTGAGTCTCGGAATATACATACGTACTACTTTAAAATAGCAACGACACACTTCGCGGACTCCCAACGCGACATCGTGAAGAGATTCTTCGTATTCTCTGCTGCTGTTGGTAGATGTTGGTTGTCTCTGTCTGTTTCTCTCTCTCTCTCTCTCTCTCTCTCTCTCTTTCTCTCTCTTTGTTACCCTTTCTCCGTTTAGCTCTCTTTATTTCACTCTCTTTATCTATCTTCTTCTTTTGCTCTTCAATCGTCGTTGGTTGCTGTCGTCTACGTTGTGATGTTGTGTCGTTTAGTGTCGTGTGAGAGAGATCCCGTGTCTACGTGTATGCGTGCGTGTTACGAGTTTGCGCGCGCGCTCGTTCGAGACAGGTGCGGTCGCGGAGGGTAGCCACGCGAGTCTCGGAGGGGCGTCTTCGTGGATTCGAATGCGTGGAAAAGGAAAAAAAAAAGAGAATTATATATATATATGTGTGTGTGTGTGTGTGTGTGGTGTGTGTATGTATGTACGTTTATATATATATATACCTGTGTGTGTGTGTGTGTGTGCGTGTGCGTGTATATAAATATATGTCTCTCTTCTTTTGCACGCGACCGAACACGAACGTGAACCGAACTGGATGAGATGAACGAGACGGCAGACTAACTGATACCTCCTCTTTCCTCTTCACTCCTCTTTACTCCTTCTAGACCTCCTCCTCCTCCTCCTCCACTTCTTTCTCCTCCTTCTTTTTTTCTTTTCCTTTCTCGCTTCCGCGTATTCTCGGAACAACCGCCACGCTCAAATCTCTTCCGCTCGCGCGTTCTTCCTTTCCTGCTACCGTCCGTTTCTCTTCTATTTCTTCTTCTATTCAATTCACTATCTATGTTCTTCCTCTCTCTCTCTCTCTCTCTCTCTCTCTCTCTCTCTCTCTCTCTCTCTCTATTTATAAAGAGTACACAGATCGTGTTCGTACGACGATTTACTTTGATATCTTTCACTTGGCCCGGTGAATGAATTTTTTTTTTTCCCTTACATTTATATATTTATTTCTTTTTATTATTATTATTATTATTATTATTATTATTTTTTCTTCGTTCCTTTATTTTTCGCGAATTAGAGAAAGAGAGAGAGATAGAGAGAGAGAGAGATAGAGAGAGAAAGAGAAAGGTAAAAAGAAAAAGAGATAGAACAGCTATTTGAAAGGACGAAAGGGAAAAAAGATAAGGGAGAAGCGAGATGTTATAAAAGATATATTAAATCGTGATAGGATAAAAAGTGGTGTAGGTTGAAAAGAGAAAAGGAAGAGAGAAAAAAGAGAGAGACGACGACAGATCGTCGGTTCTCCCGGGCCTTGTCTCTCCCTTCGATCGAGACCACCCGCGGGATGCTGTCGACTACACTGCGTCGCGCGCGAGAAAGAGAGAGATGCTGTCGGCTTTAGAGACCCCTCCCTCTTCATCTCTCCTCGATCTCCACCTCCTCCTCTTCCTCCTCCTTCTTCTCCTCCTCCTCTTTCACCTCCCCCCGACCCCGTCACCCTAAACTACCGTCTACTACTACTCACTGCTCTTGGACATGCGCGAATCCGCGCGCAACATCCATCCATCTCTTCTTTTTCTATACTGCCCGACTATACCTCTCTCTCTCTCTCTCTCTCTCTCTCTCTCTCTCTCTCTCTCTCTCTCTCTCTCTCTCTCTTTCTCTTTCTCTCTTTCTCTCTCTCTCTCTTGTATTTTCATCTCGTTGCATCTACGACGTAAAGATACGATCGAGGGTAGTTACGCTCTCTTCACCCAATTTGTGTTAACACCATGTCGTGTTTCAGCAAGAGTT